TTCTGTGATTCCTTCTGAAGATGATGGTTTTGCCCTTTTATTCTTGGCCCTGTCTACCACGGCAGCCTTGTTCCTGCTCCCACAGACCCTGACAGCAGCCTGACCAGAACTCACAAACAGGGTCAACCCCAGGACTGTCACCTCCGTGATTTGTTTCTCAGTTTTTACCTGATTAACCAGGTCAATCATGTTCTCAAGCACCTTCGCTGCTTCCCTTTTTTCATTGTCTTTCTCCTCTTTTGCCAGTTGTCTTATTTTAGTTTCAGCAGCTTTACTGAATAGTACCTGTATAAAAAGATCAGAGCTTGTCAAGATCAGCCCACATTGCAAAGTGGGATACGTGCAGCAGCAAAGAAAAAGCTTTCACCCTTTTAAGCCCAAATACCCATCGTTAATGTTTGCTACCATGAATTCCCATCCCCACACAAAACACTCCCAGAGGGGGTGGTAGCAATAAAGACAGAAGGGGGGAACAAGTCCACTCTTAAAGGAGAGAAAGATCTTGCTTATAAATGTAACCAGAGAGTGAGAACACCTCTTTCCCCAGCTAATACAATTAAATCTTACGCACTACATGCTCGTACTTACTGTACCGTGTCCGTTTGCCTCAAAATAAACACCAACATCAAACTCCTGGGCCTTGTGGTGCAAGTGTTTGACTCCTGTTTTGACACAGTGCACGGGTACCTGCGGCCCAAGGACAGGCAGAGAATGTGAGCAGTGTTCCTCTCGCCCGCAGGCGATGGAGCTGCAGGGGAAGCGCCGGGAACCGAGCACCCGCCCCGTGTGCCGACAAAGCGACCTGTGTCCCACAGCTACTGCCTCCCCAGAGCTAAAACTATCCCCTACTGCTGCAGACCCCACTGAAAAGATGATTTTATTTGTTCAAGTGGAAGTAAAGGCTGATTTTGACAGAATAAACAAATATACAAATCCCCAAGCCAAGAAAACCACAATTAAGGTTTCAGGGAACATACCAGATTTCTACCCAAACTGAAATAACTCCTTAGCTCCAGTTCCATGGCTTAGCCTGGTGCAGGAAATGAAAAAAAAACACTGTCCGAGGATGAAGGAGCCTTTAATAAATTCCTCAACTTGTTCCAGAAGAAACAAAGGATTTTGTTTGACTTTTGCCAAACTTTTTTTAAGCTAGGAAAAGCTGACTAGAACTTTCTTAGCTTTGCTCTCTCCCAGCTCCTTTACCACCAGGAATTTCTAACTACTGCAGGTTTATTTTAGCTGCGCTGAAGTTCCCCCGGTGCTCCTGTTACAGTAGCCTTTATTTTAGAAGTAAACACGTTTGCAGGGAACAAGGTCTGCAGAAAACCCCTAGGAAAAACGTGGAGAATACCTTCACTGTTTCCTCAAGGTAGCGTGTCGAACTGCCGTTGGCGTATGCTGTCTGTACCACTGCCATCCTTAAGGTCTCTCCCACCTGAGCAGAGCAAGAAGCGAAGTGCTTTACTGCCCGGTGGGCACACAGCCACACCAGTGGGATGAGTGGAAGGATAATCATTAAACGTACAATCTCCTACAGACACTTAAAACCCCTGGGCACCAGCTCACAGAGAACTTCCGGATGTTTAAGGCATCACGGATTCTGAGTCCCTGCGGTTGACGTTTTCTGTGGCTTGCTTGAAGCCGCTCTCCGCTCGGCCCTTCAAAACACTTTCCCTATCCGCTTTCCGGATCCAGCAAGCTCAGTGCGCCCACCGGACACGTGGCGTTAGGCGAGGCCACGTGCACAGCGGTAGAGTCAAAGCTGCCAGTGCGAAGCAGGCAAAGGCTGGGGGCAAGGCCAAGCTCTCCCCTGTGGCCAGCTTCTCTGCCACGGAGCAGGAAGCGAGCTGGTGTCCGAGAAACAAAACCAGGATAACTCACCTAGGCTCAGTGTCACGGACACAATGTCTAAGGGAATTCCGAAAAAGAAAAGCTTTCTCTCTGCCCCCTGCGGAGAGGGGATGCTGTGTGGCACAGTGGCTTTGGAACGATGACAGACAAACCCCATGACTCCCACAGCCCAGTTCTTGTGCAATTGGAATGCCCCAACTTGGGAGCATGGGAATGCAGCTGCAGGATCAGAAGGGGAGAAAGACCTTGAATTCAGTGCAGGCATTCCCCAGCGCCAGCTGAGAACTGATCAGTGCTGCTCTCTGCATCCAGGAACAGCTTCCTCGCAGCCACAGTAAAGAGAGTTAACTCTTTCCTGGCTGAATCCAGCACAAGAGGGAACATCTTAGCTATACCAAGGAGACACAGCACTGATCTCTTTTTGTCTGGGTTCACTTCAGGTAGATACAGAGACCCCGCACACACAAACTAACACGGCTGCTTTAGAGTGTTTTACACTTTGCCAAATTACAGTGTCAGCATCCACTTCCTACACCGGAGTTACCTTGGCAAGAAGTTCTTTAAGGAAGATACTAATTAAAGTTGCTATTTTATCTCCATCCATGAGGTGAAAACGGCCAGCCGCGTCCTTGTAGTAATAAACGATCCGATCTGCATCGCCGTCAAACGAGCAGCATCTCTCGTTGGGCTTCATGTCCAGCCCTAGTGCGCACAGGGTTAGAAACGCAAGTTGGAGATGGAGACAAAACTTTGATTAGTCCCAGCGTGGATCCCGTGCGACAATCGGCTCCCTGCAGACACACGTTAAAGCGATGCTCTGAAAGAGCTGCTCCCGAAGCAGCTCGCCCAGCCCACCCGTACCGCTCCTCTGAGCCGTGCACCCCCGCGGAGGGCTCCGGAGCCGCGTCACCTGCGTTTCCTGGCACACGGCAGGGCCGCTGCACGCAAACTAACGCGCACACGCTGCGTACATCGCCCTCCAAGTCACCTGGGGATCAACTGCTTTTCCCTTGCATCAAACAAAGCTTTTCTTTGGGAAACATTTCAGGCCCGTTTATTCTATTCCCACTGGACAGACCTGCACCCCCCCCTTTGCCTCCTTTCACATAGGAGACACTTTCCCATGCCAGCAAAGCCATCACCAAAGTGCAGTTACAGGATATAATGCCTACGGAGTACGTGCCTCAGAAACTTTCCAGGCTTAATGCCAACACGGAAGTAGCCAGGAAGCATTGACCACGGGACACAGCAAGGCCACACAGAGTGAACGGCTCATTTGTTAAGGTACACGACAGTATCTCACCTCAGTGTCTGGGGAGATCATGGAACGGAGCCCCCTAGCAGCTATGCTGAGGCCCATGGAGGGCAGGGAGGTGATTTGGGACAGCCAGCACGGCTTCACCAAGGGCAAGTCCTGCCTCACCACCCCAGTGGCCTTCTGTGATGGAGTGACAGGACACAAGGGAAGAGCCACAGATGTCCCCTATCTGGACTTCTGTAAGGCCTCTGACACAGTCCCTCACAACATCCTTCTCTCTAAATTGGAGAGATAGGGATTTGATGGGTGGACTGTTCAGTGGATGAGGAATTGGCTGGATGGTCGCATCCACAGGGTAGAGGTCAGCGGCTCAATGTCCAGATGGGGACTGGTGACAAGTGGTGTCCCTCAGGGCTCCGTACTGGGACCAGCACTGTTTAACATCTTCATCAGTGACACAGACAGTGGGATGGAGTGCACCCCCAGCAAGTTTGCTGATGACACCAAGCTGAGTGTGGGGTCAACACGCTGGAGGGAAGGGATGACATACAGGAAAACATCCAGGGAACTTCCAACCCAAACAATTCCATGATTCTATAACTTGACAGGCTGGAGAGGTGGGCCACTGGCAACCTCATGGAGTTCAACAAGGCCAAGTGCAAGGTCCTGCACCTGGGTTGGGGCAATCCCAAGCACAAGTACAGGCTGGGTGGAGAGTGGATAGAGAGCAGCTCTGAGGAGAAGGACTTGGGGGTACTGGTGGGTGAAAAGCTGAACATGAGCCGGCAGTGTGCGCTGGCAGCCCAGAAAGCCAACCGTATCCTGGGCTGTATCAGGAGAAGTGTGGCCAGCAGGGCGAGGGAGGGGATTCTGCCCCTCTACTCTGCTCTGGTGAGACCCCACCTGGAGTGCTGCGTCCCGCTGTGGAACCCTCAACATCAGAAGGATATACAGCAGTTGGAGCGAGTCCAGAGGAGGCCACGAAGATGCTCAGAGGGCTGGAGCACCTCTGCTATGGGGACAGGCTGAGAGAGTTGGGCTTGTTCAGCCTGGAGAAGAGAAGGTTCCAGGGAGACCTTATAGCACCTGCCAGTACTTAAAGGGAGGCTTGTAAGAGAGACGGGGACAAACATTTTAGCAGGGCCTGCTGCAATAGGACAAAGCATGATGGTTTTAAACTAAAAGAGGGTGGATTTAGACTAGATATGAGAAAGAATCTTTTACAATGAGGGTGGTGATGCACAGGAACAGGTTGCCCAGAGAGGTGGTAGATGCCTGGAAACATTCAAGGCCAGGTTGGATGGGGCTCTGAGCAACCTGATGCAGTTGAAGATGTCCCCGCTAATTGCAGGCAGGTTGCACTAGGTGACCTTTAAAGGTCCCTTCCAATCCAAACCATTCTATGATTCTACATCTTGCTTTTCTCTAAGACACTGGCCAAGATCTTTCCTCACATTAACCTCAGAGTCCACTCCTCGGAAGGTCTGCAGCTGGCCATTCCTTAGGCTGATGATGTCAGAGTCCGTCAGGAACTCAGCAGGGAAATTCCAAAGGACACACTGCATCCTGTAACCCCTTCTTGGAAAAACACATTTTGCTGCACAGATAGGAAAACTGGCCCACATTACTGACTCCTTGTCCTCCAGAGCACAGGAAACTGTAGCTCAAAACTTGGCTGTTTTCTCTCCTGCATGCTCACAGTGACGCAAGATGATACGTCCCACTGGCACAGAGATCCTCAAGCATGAGGTGATGGCAACAGGCTGCAACTCCCTGTGACTTCAAACAGGAAGCTGTTACTGCTTAACACTTCAGAGAAATCAGATCATTCATTTCGGCAACTGATCATGAAACTGCATTTCCTTTTCAGAGCACAGCCCTGCGTGGAAACGACCACAGGGGTCTCCCCTCGGTCCCAGGTAAAGCTGGGATCCAGGTGTGACACACTGCTGCTATGCTGCTCCTCTTGGTATATGACTCCACTATGCAAACAGAGTGGCGAGGGGGGAACGACCTGTACCTTAGTGTTCAGATTCGGCCATCAGTTGCAGTGAGAGTGCGGTTGTCGAACAGAAAGCCCAGTTTAGCCTTAAATAAACTAATATCCAAACTAGCCTGTTCCCCCAGTCCAGGGAGTTTCATTTCATAGAATCATAGAATCACAGAATGGTTTGGGTTGGAAGGGACCTTAAAGACCATCTAGTTCCA